TACCATGTTCTTTTTAGAGAGAAGAGGCTTTCTCCTGGCAACCCTTCCAAACAAATAATATGCGTTCAGTCTTTTTCTAATTGTACTGTCATGAACTTTAATATTTAACATGCTAACTGAGACCTATAGAGTCTGAGATATAACTCTTGTTTGTTTGTTTTTTTGCAATTTCTCTGAGCATTGCACAGTCTGCTTTGGTGTGAATTTGCCTGGGCATGCACTCCTGAGAAGACTGGCAACTGAATGTTTGTACTTGTGAATGATGGACTTTAGATTGTTTGGAAATGGCCTTATAAACTCTCCCAGATTGATAGGCAGTAACACTTGCTTCTTACAATCATTGCTGATGTGTTCCCACCTTGGAATTCTGTTAACACACACCTGAATACTCAAAACCAGCAAACTGCTAAAACTTCAGCTTTTATACAGAGGTGGGCACATTTGCTGATGATCACTTTACTCAATGGCATTCCTACAGAATCAGTAAAAGTGCACTACGTTTTTAACACATGGCTTCATCTTGGCTTTATTGTTGTAAATTAAATCGTGACACAGTGTAATACCTCATGTGCTGCTGTTCATCTGAAGTTGTATTCACCTAATTTTCAGACATGCTAAAGACCAGAAGATTTTTATGTCCTGGTACGTAAAAGCATAGAATTCAAAGAGGGTGTATTTTTTCACATGACCATATATGTGTATATATGTATATATATGTATATATATGTACACATGACCATATATGTGTAAATATATAAATATATACAGTATATGTATTTTGTGTGTGTGTGTGTAGAAATTGTATCATGTGGTACAATTATACAGTACAACACAGTATATATATACTCCTTATAGTACATGTACAAGATTCCAGTGTCACTCTGGTTATTTTTGATATGTGTACTGTTATAAGAGACCAAATTAGATATGAACTTTACATAGCTATGCTTATGATTTCTCTTTTATTTCTGGCATAGCCTCAGGTTGTTCATTAAGTTCATAAAATGTATCTACACACAAGACAGTAATTAATATTCTTCTCTTTCCATTGCTGTGTTTCCTTAGGCTGTTTTTAAAAAATTTGAGCAATTAAGGGGGGGGGGAGAAGATGTACATGATCTTGCCTGCATGTGAATGTTTCTGATGCAAAAATACTACCCACACAGAATACCCTCAGGACTCAAAAGTGCAACATGAACTATAATTCAGTCACAGGTGCATTAATGTAGCTGTCCGTGCATACGGCAATGTTGTTGTTACAAATATTTGTAAACTTTCTATCTTTAGTGCCTCTTTGCCTGTGATAGGAAAAAAATAAGAAAGAGAGGTGTGATGCAGTCTTGCATCACTGCATTTTTTCTGGGTTTTTTTTTCTCCTCTTCCTCTGGTGTTTTTCCGGGATATGGTAACAGGTGTTTTGTAAACCTGGCAAAAACACAGGACAAGGAAGCAGGAAATGGAAAGCAGTAGAATCCGGTTCCAAGTGCAACTTGTTCTTTAACCAGCATTTGGAAGATAATCAAACAGTGTGTAAATGTGCCGAGGCTGGGGCATGAGAAGTCTTCAAACATCTTCAGCCTCACAACCCTTTTTCCAGAAGACATGTCTGCTGCTCCATCTGTGCTTGTTCACACATACTTTTAAATATCTTGGACAAGGTGGACTACATGACTTCTGATACTTTAAGAAGACAAATATGCTGTAGATTTTCCTGAGATCAGCCTTTTCCTGCCTGGTGCTCCCCAAAGGTGCTGAACTGCAACATCTCATAACCCCACCAGCAAAGTCATTAGTCATGGTAGATGAGGATGATGAGCACTAGTTGGTACCAGGTGGGAACAGATGTCTTGCATCACACTACTGTAGTCACCTTAGGATTTTTATCTGTCTGGTTCCTGCCAGCTTAACATTTGTGCACCCAGTAGAAAAGCATGAAACTGAGTGAGTATGTATCATCCACTGACAGACAGTGTATGGAAACTTTGATCCTTGCAAGATAGACTTATATTTGATAGAACTAGGAGGCATTAGAGTACATTTCAGATGCAGTAAATAAGAAGACATTAAAAAATGTGAAAGAAATTAACGTCAACAAGAAAGTGGAAAAGGCAGCTATACAGAATTACACCTTCTATTTGTGACATGTTTTCACTCAATAAATCAGTTTTTAAAATTCAAAAAGCAGATGCACATATTTTTCTGAATCAAAATTTCAGGCACATTTCTCTGTTCCAGCTGAAATGCTTTACTTGGAAGAACATGTAAGAATACCTACCCCACAGAGATTTACACATACACAATCCCATGTTTCTGCATTATTTCTAAAAAATTCCAATGTTCATGCATAAGTACCCAAAACGACAACAGTCATGACAAAGACTGGTGATATCAGCAGACTGGAAGAGAAAGTAAAAGCAAATTTTATTTTATTAGTTAATGGCTCCTTGAGTTCCATTAATTCAAATGGGTCTACTGTAATTGTGACTTACTTTAGTATAGTAAGCCAAAACTATAGTAGGCCCGTTTGAATCAATAGAATTTACTGAGCAGTTGATTCCTCAAATCCTCATGAATCAGAGAGACACAGTCTTTTCCCTTGTTTCAGGCAGCAAACTATTTTTGGCAGGTCCTGGCAGAAGTGAAAGTTGTGGGACATCTAGGTAGCCTTCCTGGATAACAGGGGACTATAGAATAGTACAATAAACTACAGTCTGAAGATTACAAATGAGAGGTTGGATCTTTGTAATGTTGTTCCTAGGCCATGACTGGGGAATAGATGTAAAAGCTGAATTCATTAGCATTCTGTCTGCTGTGATTATCAGTTGTACAAGGGTTTTGAACTGAGGAATTGAAACACTGGGAATTGTTTCAACATATTACAGGACATACTGAAACAGGTTGGAAGAAGATATGGCTGTTCTGTATAAATGGCTATGAGATTCTATATCATTTTATGTGTCGTTGTTTGGATGCTAGCTGAAAATAATAAATATAATAGAATTTTGGTTACCTATCAGCTAAATTCAGCTGCAAGGATATCATCTGGACAACACATAACTGACTTACAATGTGATGAAGGGGAAGCCCTTACTGTTGGCAGTGCTCTGCAGAGGATATGGTCCTACTTTGCAATGCTACGGGCAGCCAAGTGTCTTTCAAATAATTGCTCCAATAAGTTTTTGTAGATGCCTATCAGAAAGATGTGACTGGTCAAAGATATGCAATCTCATTTATATGAAGCCTATAATCTTCCTGAAACTCAAAAATGGTGTTCAGTCTCTAATTACAGAGTTATGAGATGGGTTGTAGGAAAAGGCCCACCTGCATCGACAGAGAAACTGGGAGTGTCAATTCAAGGTTACCAACAGCCAGATCTTTGCTTTTTTTCCCATTCAGCTTTGAAAGTGTTCCTAAATTCCTAAAATCTGTTCTGTCTTTTCTAATCATACAAAGCATAGTCCCACTCTACAAACACTAAGGAGAAAAGTTCTGCTGAAGGAAATGCTTTGTACTTCATCAAAGTGAAATGATGATATCCACAAATCAGCTCTATTCAATTAAGTTACATAACCTCTGAGAATCATCTTTTTAGGTCAGAATGCACTATGAATTCAATAGCTAATACATGCTTCTGTGAGGTATGAGCAAATTATCATTTCTCAGGAAATGGGGTGAATAATTCAATAGTGTCTCTTCTTTCAGTGTCATGAATAAGCCAATTTTTTTGTTTAATCGTTAAGTCGTGTCCGACTCTTCGTGACCCCATGGACCAGAGCACGCCAGGCCCTCTTGTCTTCCACTGTCTCCCAGAGTTTGGTCAAAGTCATGTTGGTAGCTTCAGTGATACTTTCCAAGGATCTTGTCCTCTGTCGTCCCCTTCTAAAGGGGGCATGGTCCTCCACTTTAACACTAAAGTGCCAAAAATAAAGCAAAATAAAATTATACTGTCATAGATTCTACAGAATTTTTAAAATTACATGCCCAAGCCTCCTCTGAGTTCCCAAGAGTCCTTCCCCACAATTGGGGGCAACAGGTTCCTATGGGGTGGTGGTAGGGGCAAGGCAAGCATGCCACTTGATAAGCAAACACCCGTCTGCCAACGTTGGGTTCTTTTGAGGAGAAAGGTGGTAGCAAATATATAAATAAGTAAATAAATTGCGGGGGGGGGCTGGAGAAATGCCTGGCACGGGAGGGGCTGCTCGACAGCTCCTCAAGCATCTAAGCCTTGAGGCAGCGACTTCACTTGCATAGTGGAGCCGGTTCCAATACTCGGCCAGGTGAACCAACTGACTCGGTATAAGCCAGCTTCAGATATACTCTTAACGGGAGAAAAAAGCGACTCGTCTATGATGAAATGTAGGTGCAGCACGTCTTCTCTCTGGCGGCTGTCAGGAGCGAAGGATTTGCCTGTCTCTTTCGCGGGTGACCCGACGCGAGGCGGCGGGGAAGCGGCTCCCCGCGGCTTCTTCGCCCCCCTCCCCCGGCTTTTCCTTAAAGCCCGTCCTAAGAGCAAAGCACCGCTCAGCCCGGCTCACTCTGAGCTCGGCTCCCATTGGTCGCGCAGGGGTAAAAGGGGCGGGCCTTTCCGCGGCCCAGGAGGGATGCCTACCCCGGCAGAGGCTCTTAAATATTCATAGCGGAGAAGAGGGAGGGGGCGTGGTCTGCGGGGGGGGGCTGAGCCGGCGGATGGTCGGTGGAGAGGAACGAGCCAGCTGGGCAGCGATCCCGGAGGAGGAGGAGGATCAGGCGCCCCCTCCTTCTGTCCCTACAGGAGGCTGCCTCAGCCCTTGCAGGCTCCCGCCGGGCGCACCCCCCCTTCCCTCTTTCTCGGGCCACATCCTGCACACCCCTCCTTCTCCACCCTCCCTCCTTCCCTGCTTCCCGTCGGCCCCACCACCTTGAGTCGCCC